CGGCACTCAGCAGTGGTATGCCCCTTCATACCGGAATGGTACGCACAAGTTTTGTTCGGATCGACCCATTGGGATGGATTTTCTAGTGCCACAACGGGAACAGGAGTGACATAACCTGCGGCTTTCAACCTTTCATACAGTTGGTCGATGGGCTTAGCAATGGCGGTGTATTGTCTGGGTGGCTTGCGGTTGAAATTGGGTCTTGGTCTTGGAAAGTTTTGGCGAGTTGGAGGTGTTTGGAAGTGGGATGGTTGGGATATAGGTGTGATAAACAGTGGTTGGTTGGGAATATCTGGGAGATGAAGGTTGATATGTAGGCGGTGATGCTTGGTATGTGAGTGGAGGTGTTTGATATGTGGGTGGAGGTGTTTGATATGTGGTTGGAGGTGTCTGATATGTGGGTCGAGGTGTCTGATAGGTAAGTGGAGATTTTGGGCCCTGGGCCACCATTACCGCCCCAACATCTCTCTTCTTCGATATGCCACTTGATTGTAGTGCCTTATTCGTGGCTTGCATTGCCTCGAAGTTCGTTACCATCCCGCTCTTGATTCCTTCTTCGATTCTTTCTCCAAGTTTGATGATGTCCGAGAATTTGTAATTTTTGATAACCATTAACCTCTCATAATATTGTGGATCCTGTGCCCTGACGAAGAATTTATTCATCTGTTCTTCGTCCAAAGAGGGCCTGACCATTGCCGCTTCCGACCTCCAACGAGTAGCGTATTCATGGAAAGTCTCAGTAGGTTTCTTCTTAAGATTTTGAATGTAGAAAACATCTGGTGCATTTTCTGTGTTGAACCTGAACCGGTCCATGAAATCCGACGCCATGCTTACCCAATTGGACCATTTCTTGGGATTTACGCTGATATACTAAGACAAAGCATCCCCAGTAAGGCTCCTCATAAAGAGCTTCATCCGGATTTTTTCATCTTTCCCGACCCCGACAAGCTTGTCACAATAGGTCCTTAGATGAACGCTGGGATCACCCGTGCCATCGAACATTTCGAACTTGGGGGGTTTGTACCCCTCTGGCAGTTCGACATCCGGCTGTATGCACAGATCTTCATAGTTCAAACCTTCTATTCCTCTGTCGCCTTCGATACCTTGAACTCGGCTTGTTAACTTTTGAGTTCTTCAGCCAAGTTTTTAATGAGCAGGTCCTTCTCGGAGGATTCCGGTGTATATGAGATTGGTTGGGTAGAGCGAGGTACAGTTTTCACATATACAGGGTTGCTTTGATGGGTGCCAGGGACTTGGGTGTAATGATGGTCATTGGTGGAGTTTTAGGGATCGGGAATGGGTTGTGGTGTGTTTTAGGGAGTGTGGTAAGTGGTGGTTGGTGGGTACTGAATTGGTTGATGGTGATGTTGTGGAAGAGTTGGTATCGGCAGCGGATTGATATTTTAGGGTGGAGTTGCGTATTGATTTGGTGCGGTAGGATTTTGTGGTTGTTGGTTTTGTGTGTTCTGAGGAGGCGCTGGGTTCTTTGTGTTTTGTTGATGGATATCGGGGACATTGAGGGTGAGTGACAAGTTTGCCAAGTTGCGAACCTGCTCAAGTTCTCCTTGCAATTCCAGTATCTTTTGTTCCAGTCTCAAGACTAGATCATTTGGGGCCGGAGTACTACGGCCATCTGAAGTCTCTGTGTTCTCCATATTCTCCTTTCGGATTCCGCTTAAATCGTCCATCTTTGCCTTTCCTCTACCTTTTGTGTTGCTTGGAGGAGGAGGAGGAGGAGGGCCTCGAGATCTGGTGTGGTACGCTGATGAGGCCAGTTTGAGTGAACCAACCTAAGGGGATGGGAATAATAAGAAGAAGGAAAAAAAACAAAAAGTTAACAAGTCAGTGAGGATCCTGAAATGTTTGCAGTATTTAAACACATATTGCGAAAATGTAAATTCGCGTCTTAATTTGGGAACCTCGTTATGCCCGAGATAGTCCTAGCGACAAATAGATTTGGAGAACTTTAAATGCCAATAAATGCTTCATTTCATAATATAAAAATAGACGAATCCCAAATCGACACTAAGATAATAATAAAATAAGTCACTACTGGCACTTGGCCTTATTACATTTTTAGAAAAAAAAAAAGCAAATAAATCTAGCCTATTTGGTCCCAGAAGGACCTTCCCCAGATTCGATCTTCCGGACTCCATCATATAGATCCCCCAGCTCGCGCAGCCCCAACAGCAAGTAGGTTCTGGCCAGATGTCCTCCTTCAGCTCCTTCAGCAATCTGGCAATTTTCAATCCTCTTTATGACTTTACCTTCCAGCTCCACTATTCCTCGCTCCAGATATTCCAGTTTCCTATTGGAAGTGACTGCCATTTCTTTCCATTCCTCGATCAACCTCACATTCCTCTCATGTATTTCCCGGTGCTCATTCTCAGAGTCGTGGACCCTTTTGCACAGCCTGTTGTATTTGACTTGAGCTTCAGCTTCTTCATCTATGATTCTGTTCCCTCGATCGGCCCCTGATGTCACCATTCCTTTTAGATTGTCCTCTAACCATGCCGGGTAGAGAGGCTCGCATCCTGCATGATACCTGTCTGTCTCAACGGTGTTCTTCTCCACAAAGATTTTGCTGTGCGCCATGTGCTGAGCTTGGCACTTGTAAGGGACGTCGTCGTCTTGAAAGTCTGCCCTGAAATGACTCATCTTGACAACCCTTGGTACAACCTGTTTCCTGTTTGCTTGTCTCATAACTCGGATAAGGACATACGGGTATATCCCTCTCAACCCGATCAGCACCAAGTGTGGAGCATCCCTGGATCTGATAATAAATTCGTCTGTTGGGAACCATTCAAACATCCATTGCACCTGTTCCTCGGTCAGGTTGTCGAAGAACTCTACCCATTCTTTCGCACTTTCTGGTTGAGCAAATCTGTCTGGAATGTAAGTCATCTCCTTGGGGTGATGGAAGGAAATATGGTCATTCCAAGCCCTTCGCGGAAATTCTTGGCGATAGGGACCCTTTTGGAAATGCTCCAACAACCATAACTACAGCAACAAGTTACAACCCTCGAAATGCTTGACCCCTCTTTGACAGCGCTCCAGAGCCCTGTAGATGTCGGCTATGATCATGGTAACTATGGTATATGTCTGTCCATTAATCCTTTCCATCAAAGCCTTGGCGACCATGGCCAACCTAGTATGGATTCTTCCCTTTTTCATTGGGAACACTATCAGGCCTAAGAAGCATACAATGAATACGAACACTCTACGGTGAATGTGACCCAGAGAAGTGAGAGAGATCTCATCATGGTAGGTACGGAAATACATGCTATGGCCATACCTCTCATACAGGTATTCGAAAGGTATATAAGATTCCTTCAAGCACACTAGGTCGACATTCTTTTTTAGCCCCATCATCTTTAAAAATCCCTGCCAGTACGGTTTTCTGGTACCAATAACCCGGGACTATCCCAAGTCAACCTCGCAAGCCCTCCAATTTCTTATAGGAGTGGTGTCATTTCTATGTCACCGAAACGAAACACAATCCTTTCACTATCCCAGAATAAAGTGGTAGCCTCGATCAATTTGTTGTTTGGCTCAATATCTAGCAAGGAAGGCAGGTTACCCAGGTACTTTCTCACATGTTTCTTGTCACTTGAGGAAAGGTCTTCCCACCAATCTAGCAGCAATGATGGGATGTTGCTAACCATACCGAATCTGGGGACCTCGTACCTCATTTTCTGCAAAACAAAAGGGTTAGACCTTACCCCCGCCAGACTCGACTATTTATATATTTATGATCAACGTATCGGCATTTAGTTCTCCAAATTAATGCACAGAACGTGGTTGTGTCCGTTAGGATTATAGAAAATCCGATGGACTTTTGGATAAGGCTTATCTTAAAGGATCATTACGTGGACAGCATATTGATCCGACTAGGTTTGACCATGATGCATGCACAATTTTATCCAGAGTAAGGTTTCTATGGGGTTTTAGTAGGGATGGCAATGGGGCGGTGTGGGTGCGGGGCGAGGCGGGTTTGAACGTTGGCGGCGCGGTGTGGGTTTGAGATTTTGCGGTTACGGGGCGGGGCGGGGCGGGGCGGGGCGGGTTCTGTTTTTAAATTAAAAAAAATATGCGGGGCAGGGCGGGTTCGCGGGTGGGGATTTAAATTTTAAATTTAAAAGGCTGAATAATAATTAAAACCCTAGTCCCAAATACTCCCAATTTCACTTAGACTTAAGCGGCTCATCTCTCGTTCTCTCTCAGATGACAGACGCTCCTTCGTCCTCGTGAATAGGTACTCGTCGTCGACTCTCAAACTCTTGTCTCCATTTTTCTCTCAAACTCTTGTTTTTAGGCCTTTACACAGTGTTTGATTCTCCAGCGGTTCTTCAATTCTCAGAAGGTGGACCATCGGCGACTTTCTCCTATTTGATTCTCCAGAGGTTCTTTTCTCTGCTTTTTATTGTCTTGAATTTCTGTTTATTGTTGATTGCTGAATTTGATTTTTTTTGGTGAAATATTGTCTTCTTTTTTTCTTCTGAAGATTATTTTTATTGGATTGATTTCCGGATTCTGAAAATAGTGACAAACACCTGTAAGCTCAAGTTTATAGTAGCTTAATTTGACTCATTGATGTAGCTTAATTTAAGGCTCATGTCAATTTATGTTGAAATAAAACTAAAATTTTGTCAATAATGTTGTTGATTGTAGTTGACATGTATACCTGAGTATAGCTGACATTTAAATTCTTGTTAGTGATTTGTTTCTTTTAAGGAAGCTGTATAATTTCTTAAATCTTAATGCATCACAGGCAGTAGAGCAGCAACATATTTAGTCTTATTGGAAACATCAATTAATAATGACAATATGAGATTAATTCTTTAGAAGTAAAGAGCTGTATTTTGTCCAACTCAGTTTTCTACTGTCTTGGATCCTTATATCACTTTTGGATTTACTAATTAATTGACTCTTTTTTCATTTTCCATGTGCACTTAGAAATGTCTCATAATATTAATTTAGCTTATTCTTTGTAGAAAAGTATGGAGTGTCAAAATGAAGAGAATCCGGTTGGTTCATCTTCTAGTACTTTTCCTATAGAGAGTGATAGTCAATTGCCTATGCAAGTCGATGAAGTTGTTGATGAAACTGGGAAAAGAAAACTTAGTTCTGACGCATGGAATCATTTTACACCGGTGATGATTAATCTTGTTCATTTTGGTGTTTGTAAGTATTGTAATACTCGTATCAAATCAACAAGAAATTGTGGGACATCTCCGTAATCGATGTCGCAAAAAGCCAAGTAATTTAGACAATAAGGGTAGTTCGGGGGGTGATGGTAGTCAACAACACTATTTTGATCAAGATGTTTCACGCAGAGAACTTGCTCGTGCTATCATTTTGCACGAGTATCCATTGTCCATTGTTGATCATGTAGGATTTAGGAAGTTTGTTGCTAGTCTCCAACCGTTGTTCAAAATGGTGTCTAGGAACACAATCAAGAATGATATACTGAAGATTTTCGACAATTTGAAATCAAAAACTTCTATGTTATTGGAAAATCTTACAAGTAGAATTGCAATAACAACTGATATGTGGACTTCGGACAACACCAAAAAAGGGTTCATGGCTATTACAACACATTTTATTGATGATTCATGGAGACTTCAAAGCCATATTCTTAGATTTGTTTATGTTCCTGCTCCACATGATAAGGATACTTTGTGTAGTGCGTTGCTTAATTGCTTGTTAGAGTGGAATCTTGAAAGAAGAATTTCAACAATTACAGTTGATAATTGTAGCACAAACAATGCTATGATGAAAACCTTGCTAGATGAGAAACTTTGTAAAAGTGATTTATTGTTGATGGGTCGAATGTTACATGTGCGATGTGCCGCACATATCTTGAATTTGATTGTGCAAGAAGGACTAAAGGTGATACAAGATAGTATTAATAATGTGCGTGACAGTGTCTTATATTGGATAGGGTCTTCAGGCAGAATCGAAAGGTTTGAAGAAGCTGCACGATTGCTACATATTTCGTGTAACAAAAAGTTAGAGTATGATTGCCCTACTCGGTGGAACTCAACATATCTAATGTTGAGAACAGCCCTGGAATACAAAGATGTGTTTATGAAGTTGAGCCTAAGTGACCTTAGTTATCGTTGTTTTCCAACCGAAGGGCAATGGAGTGCAGCAAAAGAAGTTTGTGATACATTAAAGCTTTTCTATCATATCACTGAAGAGTTCTCAGGGACTCAATATCCCACTTCTACTCTATACTTTTCTAAAGTTTGTGATATTAAGCTAGAATTGGAAGCCTTGGTGAAAAGTTTAAATCCTTTGATTAGCTCTATGGCATCATCAATGTTGTTGAAATTTAAGAAATATTGGGATGAAGTGCATATTTTGATGGGTGTAGCTGCTATCTTTGATCCGAGGTATAAGATGAGGTTGGTGGAGTTCTATCTTACACATATTTATGGTGGAGAAGCTGCTTCAAATAAAATTCAAGAAGTTCGAAACTATTGTGTTGATCTCTTTCAAGAATATAAGAGTAGAGGAGCTGTGTCATCCCAAGCATCTAGTTCTAGTGAAGTTGTTGGACATGTTGAGGGTGACCGACTGTCTAGTTTTGATAGGTTTGTCGCGTTGAGTAGCTCGAACGTGGACACAAGATCGGAATTGGATTCTTATTTAGAAGAAAATGTGCTACCCCGCACACCATCATTTGACACTTTAAGTTGGTGGAAGACAAACGGACTAAAATTTCCTACTTTACAAAAAATGGCTCGTGACCTCTTAGCCATTCCTGTCTCTACCGTTGCTTCAGAATCTGCATTTAGTACTAGTGGGAGATTGATTAGTCCGCATCGTAGTAGACTTCATCCTACTACTTTGGAGGCTTTAATGTGTGCTCGCACTTGGTTATGGAACGAAATAAATGGTAAGTGATTTTTTCAATGACTTGTAATGTTAATAGTGATTTTCAATTTTTAATACTATATATGTTTCTTTTTAGGTTTGGCTTCAACGGTCGACAAAGTTTCATGTCCGACATTACTTGACGAAGAGGAAGAGCCGGATTCAAGTGGTCGATAGAAGAGGAAGAGAATGTCATTTGTTGATAGATTTTGTTAGAGTATAGACTTGATGTCTTGCTTAATAGACTTTGTAGTTTGTTAAAGCTACTGCTTCTATGCCTTTTGAGATGTGTTTTTGCTTCAACACTATGGTCTATGGTCCATAGTGTTGAATGGGACCTCTGTTGATAAATGTAGAGTTTATTCTGATGTTTCTGAACCTGTTTTGCTTAATGTTTAGCCTAGTAGATGCTTTGCTTTTTCCTGGGAAATAGTTTTTAATCGGCTTGTGAAACAGTCTTGTCATTGTGACTGTTTATCATTGAGATGAGTCCTTCCTTGATCGAGTTATGTCACATGCATTTGGTAGGAATTTCAAACATATTTGGTATGAACTTTGTATGAAATTTGCATTTTGGTAGCTTTTAATTATCGGAAGTTTTACACTGCCTTGCCCGCTTTAAGTGCTTGCATGAGTAGTTGAAGGCAATACATCGATTAAGGATGGGCTTTATGAAGAGGCATTGTCAAAATATGAGCTAGCGTTACAAGTTGCAGCAGATAATCCTTCAAGCACTGAAATTCGTTAATATGTCATGCTAACCGTGCAACTTGTTTCTCCAAACTGGTAAGCTTGGCATATGCATTGTTTACACTCTGCATCAGATTTAATAATGTCAAAATTCTTCCATGGGTTGGAAGTGCTGATAGGTTAGTTTTTCTACAGAATAGTTCGCCAAGTGTTCAATAAGATATTAAGTCACTTTAAATGTTTTTTGAGTCCGAGATTGAACAATTACAATTGCAAACTACTTAAACGTTTCTAAGTCAAGAATTTAGTACTCGTGTGGAGAAAAGGGAGTGGGGTAACCATTCAATTCAATAATAAAATCACTTATTACAAATTTCCAAAACATAAACATGTAAAAAGTTTGGCCTATGTAGTAAAAAAAATCCGATTTAAGTCTAGCTTTCTAAAAAACAAAAGAAATTTTATTAAGCAAAAAGAAAAAATGCGGGTGCGGGGCGGGGCGGGTGAACGCAGGTGGAGTGCGGTGCTGGTGTATGCGGGTTTAAATCCTATGTGGGGCGGGGCGGAGCGGGTTTAAATTTCGCGGGTCCAGATAGAACCCGCCCTGCACTCGCCCCGCCCCGCCCCGCCTGTCATTCCTACCCCTCAGGATCCACTAGTGTTGTTCCCGGCCAGACAGTTATTGTGAATTGAGCAAATAGACAAGTATAGGCTCAAATATTAGGGGATTTAAATTTAAACACATAAAAGAAAGAACAATTAAAAGAAGAGCTTAAAAGGAGTTTGCAAATAAAGGAAAGGAGGGTCCTAGGTTTATATTTAATATGGATCACGTCAATGCAATATCCGGTAATCACTCCTCAAAAGAGGGGTTACACGTGGCATTAGCGCACCGGTCATCATATCCATATCTACCATTCCCACCCCGTTAAGGTATTAAACCGCGGATTGGTCTCGATCACTATTGCATGCTATTACCCATCCCATTCCTATCAGTCCCGGAGGCACTTAGGACTACTATTCCTAAAGGGAAGGAAAATTAGGCTGATTGGTTTCAAATGATAAAAACCTAAGAAAACATACAAAACACATACTGCATATTGGGGAAAACATATAAACAGATAAAGGCTCATATACACCTCCTTGAACAAAAGCACATAACTAGCATGACTTGCACATACTTTTTAGGTCTGATTAAAAAATACTAAAGACGAGGGGAGCTTGATTATTGAAGCAGATTTGTTTATTACATAACTCAGATAAGAAGTCTGAATCAGGCCTGCCTACTGGTTGTAAAAATTAACAAAAGCAGATTCAATTTTACAGTTATTACTCTAAGGCATGCCTAAGTGTTTAGACGGGGTCCTATTGGCATGATATCTACTTAATTCAAAAGGTGGTGAAACCGTGATAACTCAAAACGAATTGTTTGAAATCCTATAGGCATGCTTGCTAAACTTTGTTAAAATAAGGGAAATAGATTATATAGAAAAAGGTTCAGAATGGACGAATTGTAGATGACAGTATCCACCATCGCTGATTTTTACTCCTATGAACATGATATCTAGGATTACTGATTTTAGACCCTTATAGACATAATTGCTGATCTTAAACCTTTGTATACATAATGTCTAAATGAATAATGTCAAACCCTATAGGCATAATATCTAGTAGACAATGGAAACAAGCAGGTTCTTTACTTGGGAATTCCTACAAACATGATTTCTATACTTTATACGGATTTTAACGTGCTACTGGGTTATAACCAATTGGACCCTAAAAACATGATATCTAAACAGTGTAGAATTTTAGATAATTCCTATAGGCAAGTTATCTAGATATGAAGTTGAACAAGCATGATTTAAAGTAAGTCCTATAGACATGATTTCTAAATGTGATGTGAATATGCAGAATTAAAAGCAGTCCTATAGGCATGTTTTCTAAATGCGAATTGAACACGTAGAAAAAGAAGTCCTATAGGCATGTTTTCTACCCATGAGCATGCATAATTACCCACCCTTTTTTCACTATCCTACCCCAAATGTTCATTACAAATTATTACAAACCAGGAATACTGAATTACATCAGAAAAGTACAAATAAAAGTTACAACCAAAGGAAGCCTGATTCTTGACTTCCTCTCTGAGTTATGGAATAAACCACCTCAAAATGCCATTGATCTAATGCCTTTATCAGACTTGAGTGTGTCAGAGTTCCCTAAGGGCCTCAATAGGACCCCGGGCAGTGCACACACCCAAGTTACATAACCAGAATAGAGATGAGTGCAGTGTGGAAATGCCAGCCCTCATGTGTCCAAGTTCAGAGGGAGCTCATGGGTCCCAAGGCAAGGATCACATGAGGGGGGCAGAATTTAAGTCTAAGAAGAGAGCGAAAGTGCAGAAACAGAGTTTTAAGAGCTAAGGGATTAAAGGAGAGGGAAAGGGTGATGGGAGACAGCCATTAACATTTCATGGAGTCAATAACTTCACACAAAGGGGGCAGGGGATTGGGAATCCATTGCAAGGAGCATATACACTTAGGCATGGGTTATGGGCATGCACAACAATAGGAAGTGCTGACATGCCTGTAAATCAACCAGAACACATAACATATAAGAGAAACATGGAGGTTATAATCCTAGGAGGATCAAGTTTGGGTCATGCACAGCAATTTCCAGTGTTGTCATGCCCCAAACCAACCACAAGTATTAAATACATTGGGGTAGGGATTTAGGATTCACGAGTCATAATACATTGATCCAGAACAGGAAAAGGAAAATTACAGCATGCTAAGTAATGGTACTGGGTTAAATACAAACAGTAGGGAGACAAGAATGCAAGAAACAGTAAGCATGTTGTTGTTGGTGCGGAAAACTTAATTAGAACATACCAGTAAGAAATGCAAATGCAGAAAATAAGCAAGTTTCCCCACAGCCTAGCCTTGGCTTTCAGCCGGCTAGCTAAGGCATCAATATAGTAGTAGTAGTAGTAGAGAAGAGAGAGAGAGTTTTAGTGTAGTGTGCGTTTTAACTCAAGTGTTATGCCTTGTGATCGTGTTTTTTTGAAAGAGAAGAAGTACAGGGTAATTATAGTTTTTGAAAACAAGTAAGAAAGAGGTAACAAGCTACAAACATGGCAACAATTATGATTCAGAATCAATTATACAAGTGATTGCCTTTAATTAAGGGGTCACTTGCATAACGAGCATTGGCAGGTTCAAAAATAAGGAAAGAAATCAATTTATAAACAGGCTGACAGTTGCCATAAAAGAAGTAGCAAAACATTAAGTAAGCAATCGAGTCTAGGTACATAAATACACTAATTTTGGAAAGAATTTAGCACGGCAAAACAGGAAAAGAAAATCAATTAACCTTAACAGGCGAGTGAAATTAGAATTTCACAAAAGAAAAGTTTGAAATCAGTCACAAGTTGAAGGTCAAATGAAGAAGGAAACTTACATATAAATAGGGTTTATAAACACTATATATGCGAGGCCAAGCCTGTTGGCAGAAGGAAATAGCATACAATAGTAGCACAAAATTCAGTAGATAGCAGCATTCGAAGCATGATAGTCCAGTAGGTCAAGTAGTGAAGAAAACATAGAATATCAAAGGCATGCGAAGATCTCCGGTTAGCAGGTGAGGAAAATCCCCCTTTAAAAATTAGGGTTTCGAGCATAATCGCATTTTAGGGATGATAGAAAACCAGAGTCAGAAGAATCACACAAAGGAATAAGAGATTTTGAAATAAAGAACTTCAAATCGAGTCATGCACCTAAACGAACAGTCTCAGACCCAAAACCATAGGACTTTCAACAATAGGAGAGTTTTTAAAAAAGGATAAACAAGCAAATCGGACAGAAACTCAGGCAAACAAACATTCGTCTAATAAACAGTCGTAAGAAATTACGGCTTTTAACATGCAAACTCAAGTAGAAGAACGATATGAGAAAACATAGCAAAACATGTCAAAAAATCAGAGAAACGTTTGAAATAACCTAACAGAAACCCTAATCGAAAAAGATAAGGGGTTTTGAAGGCAGAGTTTTAAAAGAAACTTCGAGAAAAACTCTTAGAAGTTCAGAGCAAACATAGATCTGTAACAGATCTAAAAAAAAGTCGAAAGAACCTTAGAGGTTAGGGTTTCAAAAGAACCCCAAGTGATGAGAAAGGCCTTGAAAACCATCGATCTAAGCAGGAGAGTCAAAAGTCTGACTCGACTAGCCATGGTTGGCCGGTGAAAGGTCAGAGACGACCGGAGAACAACCATGAACTGAAATCGAACAGGGTCTGGACCAAGCTCTTTCAAGACGAGCCTTGAGACCATAAGAATCGAACACGTAGAGGCCATGGGAGGTTGATACAGGTCTCCAATGACCTTGGAAGCCATAGATTTGGGAGGTATTAGGGTTGTAGTTTGATGGCAGTGGCTAGGGTTTGTGAGGGATTGCATAGAGAGTTGAGAGGGAAAGGGATTCAAGGGCGGCGTTTGGTGTGAAATGGGGTGGGGTAAGGGGTCGTTTGAGGCTAAAATGGAAAGGGTTGATATTGGCCGTTGATCTAAATGATCAACGGCCAGGATTGAAAGGGTTAGGTAGGGGATCCGGGTTGGGTTATTTAAATGGGTTGTGGGTTGGTTTTAATGGGAATTGGGTCATGGTAATTGGGCTTCAAATTGGGGTTCAATTCAGGCCATAATTGAAATATAATTGGGCTAGATTTTAAATAGCCAATTTTCCCCTTTTTATTTTATAAAGAATAGTAAATTATTTCCTGGAAATAAAATAAAGGTACTAAAATGATTTGTAATACATAATTATCGATTTAAAAAATACTGGACTTAATTTTCGTAAATATAAACGCAATTAAATCTAAAAGAGGCTAATATTGCAATTATATACAATTTAACTTTAAAATACTAAATAAATTTGTAAAAATATGCAAAAATTATCTTGACTATATTTTAGTATAAATATGAGAATCCAATAAATAAATCACCAAGATTGATAATTTTGAGAATTATTACTGCGTTTTTATGAATAAAATAGGGGAACAAATTGG